ACAGGCTTTATTTCCGACATTGATCCTAAAAATAGTCACTTCGTATGTTTTGCGCATATTTTAAATTTGGGGGCAAGAGATTTTATAAAAATACTTGATTCGAATTCTGAGTTTCAAGAGACAGATGCTACCCTATCGGATGTAGACAGTGATGAAATAACTGAAGATCTAAATTCGCTATCTCCAATAAAAAAAATTCATTGTCTTGGAAAGAAGTTAAAAAATTCTGAAAATCTGCGCAACGATTTCGAAAAATTTTGCACTACTCTGAATTTAACAATGGCTATGCCAAAATTAGATGTCATAACAAGATGGAATTCAACTTTGGATATGCTGCGATGGGGCCTCAATATGAAAAAGTCTTTAAACATTCTTTGTGATAACACAGAAAATATGAAMACTTTGAAGCCTACAGACACGGAGTGGTCGATAATAGATCGAGTTTGTAAATATCTGAATAGTTTCAAGACAATTTCCAAAACATTAGAAGGTGAAGCATATTGCACACTTCCGATGGTGATAATTGGTATAAATATGCTCCTGGATAAGCTAGAACAATGGGCTATTGAACTCGATAATAATCCAAGTAGAAATGAGACTGATGAAAAATTCATCTACAGTATTCAAGCGGCTAAAGATAAAATCATCAAACATTACCAAAAAACCAACTGGATGTACTGTGTTGTTTTAATTTTAGATCCCCGGCATAAAGTGGAAACATTCTCCAATACAAGTTGGGGAAAAGACTTAGAGAAGGAAGCAGTCAAACACTTTGAAGAAATTTTCAAAACAAAATATTTTCAGCCAGGTCGACAGAGCACAACAGCATCATCTTCAAAGGATAATTACATTAATTACAATGAGTTTGACATCGATCGCCTAAGTTTATTCAAGAAATCTCCTTGGCTTGGCGTTATGAAATAGACAAATTCCTGTCTGAACCACGTGCTGACAGTTCTGAAGATATATTAGAATGGTGGAAGAGGCACGAAAACGTTTTTCCAAACTTGGCCAGAATGGCCAAAGATTTTTTATCAACGCCAGCATCTTCAGCTCCTGTTGAAAGACAGTTCTCCAGAGCTGCTCTAACTGTTACAAAAACCCGCAATAGATTAGGCGACAAATCTATAAGATGCCTCATGTGCCTTAGATCCTGGATGGAAAATGATGAAATCAAACAATGCTTGGAGGTTTCTCAATATTAAGAAAGAAATTTTTTTAACATTTCGTATTTTGTTATGTTTTATAGCGATTTAATTTGTGTTTCCATTTTAAAATAGTTTATATTTTTGGTTTTTTAAATAAAAGTGTTTTTTGCAAGATTCATACTCATTTCATCATTTACACAATAAAACTGCTAAATATCAAGTAGCTTGATAGAAGTACTTGATTTTTAAAGTACTTGATAAATAAATACTTGACTTGACTTGACATTAAAAAACTACTATTTGACTTGAACTTGACTTGATTTCAAGTCAAGCCAAGTCAAGTAGCTTGAATATCAAGTCAAGCTGTGAACCACTAATTGGAGTCGTCGCTTTGCTTCTCATCAAACAATTGTTTTCGTTCGGTAAAATGACTTTACCATTCTTGATTGAAACTATTTTTGGAAAGTAAATAGCTTAAACAAAAATAACTGCTTGGTTTCATACTTTTTGTGTTAATCTAGAATGAAAACTACGAAATCCTAAAAGCACAGTGTAACACTAGAAAAAATACATTTCTACTATTGAGACATCCTATCCTGTATGTTGTATCTTTTTCAACCCAGCTCATGCTACCGGAGTAAAAGAAGTGCCTACCTGTGACAGTTTAGATGGTTAAAATAGGTGGATATGATAATCCATCATAATGATGTGCAATGAACAATGTTAGTTATCATTGTTGATGTGTCTCACGTTGTAAGATATTTAGAAATTCCTTCGTTCCGTTTAGGAAGAAGAATGTTCAAGGTACACTCAGAAAAGTGATGTATTTGTTATTACTACATTTGTAGTAGTAAAAAAAGTACGGTATATACTACTCTCAAATATGTTATAACGTACCAATTAGGTGATTAATGTTACTCATACAAGTGTAGATTTTACTAATAAAAAGTAGAGGTATAATTTACTACTACAAACAGTAAGCTAAACTATATTTTTTTGAGTAAATTTTACGCAAAAATTGAATAGTAAATTCAACTGCAATGTAATTGTAGGGTTTACTACTACGATTAGTTAATTTCAATTATAACAACAATGTAGCTGTAAGATTTACCACTACAAAATGTAAAATGTAACGGTTGTTAGATCTCCCGCTTTAAATAATACAACCCTCATAGTGGTGGTGGGGCAGTAGTAAGGTCCAGTTGAAGACGCGCGATTGACAATTGATTGTGATTTGCGAAACAATAACGGTCATTTCAAGCTAATATATAAGACTTCTTAAGGGCCGTTGTCCACACTGATTATTTTAATGTAACAGTGGTGTGAAGTGCTTGTGAAATTTAGTTCAAAGTTTCAATTTGTGTTTAGAATTTTCGATTTTATATTTGAAGTGTATTTCTTCAATGATTATTATGAAGAGTTATTTAGAAGATTGGGGTCTCCAAGAGTTAATTCCGGTGTTTCATGGTAAGTAATTTTTTAGTATACCTAGTAGTAGTCCTGTATTCTGTACCTTAGTTAATTAAAGAAGTTTAAATTTAGTTATTCCACCCTTTCACACACAGAAAAGTCATTATCTTAATTTAAGAATAATAATTGTCTTAACGTCATATTTTTAACTTGAAACTATATTATTTTACCACAATTATTTTTATTTGTATTAAAATAAAACTATTTCTTGACTTAAGCAACGAATAATTTTACTGAATTGTTTTACTTTAAGAAAAATTTTCTTGTTTAAAATATTTTTAGATTCTATTTAATAAAAGTTTGGTAGTTCACGCGGAGAAAGTAAGTTATCTTACTTTAAAAATATTTGGTTCGTCACCTCAAGTAAACAGATTTACTTCAGTCATAATACAGAATTATTCATTTGAAAACATATCTGAATCAATTGAAACCACACATAGTTAAACTAATATTTAGTAAACTTGCACTGAATATAATTTTTCTTGAACCAAATAATTGGTTTCCTTGACTTTGTTGCTTATGCTCGAGAACCGAGAACAGAGAGACCAGAGTGAGACCCAACGCAGCTCAGATCAAGACGTTTTTTTAAGTTAAATAAAGTTGCAGTTACTGTACAATGGAGAAATTATTGCTAAAATCGTGCAGACTTGACAAAACTGTCATTCAAAAATTTAAAGGTAAATACAGTTGCTT